TTTGTAAATAAAGATTAATCCTGATGGGCGGGATGAAATCTGAAGATAGTCTCTTCTGTTCAGAACTTCATGTATGATTAGAATGGAGTTTTAAGGCACGTAACGTAGGTCATGGTTCATGGTCATGAAAGAAAGGGATAAAAGGCCCAAACAAGTGTTTAAGGGTGATTGAACCAATGATCAAATCATTCTGATATCTTCAATCATATCTTGCTCAATTTGAATCTGCTCGTATGTGTCTCTCTCTTGATGCTCTATGATCTTCGAGTGGAGTGATTCAGTGATTCAGAAATGATTGTGCTTGATCAATCTTATTTGATGCTCTATGATCTTCGAGTGAAGTGGTTCAGTGATTTGATCAATCTCATAGTTTGAATCTTGATGCGTCATTTGAATCGAGAGAATCTTTGCATATGCATATTGTCTTCTTTTTTCTTCAATTTTCCTTTGTTTTTTCTCTTTTTATTTTTTCTTTACTTTTTTTCTCTTTTTTCTCTTTTTGTTCTGATTGAATATTCGCACTTGGCATTTGGTTCACCTTTCGGTATCTCATCTGAATCAATGTCTTCACTCATGCGAGCAGATTTCCTCCACCTTGCCCCCAATGTGGAGGGTGATCCTTGGTTAGGGTTGAATCAGAAAAAAAATACTATAGGCTCAAAAGGGGACACAAGGGATATATATTTTCTCCTTTTGTGAAGGGATGAAGAAAGAAAGTTGTTCATCATTTCATACATGAAGTCCTCACAGAAGAGGTATCCCCAGGGGGATAAATTTTCAGGATTAATTTTATTCACATGAAAACAGTGTAATTAATGCATGTTATAATTATTTCGAGTGAATTCTTCTTTCTGCTTCTTGCCCCCAACATGTCTCAATGTTCAGGCTCCCTGCGAGATGCCCCAAGTTGTGTCTTAGAAGAATGCTTATGTTCAAATGAACAACTCAATGCCTTGGGTTTTAATGGTATAAAAATGTCAATTTTGAGTCTAAAAAGACAATGATGTGACTTTATTGACTCAAAGAAATGTATGGGTGTATCAAAAAGATAAAGGCATTGTTAAAAAATTTCAAAGGGATATAATGTCAAAATTTGGTCTTTTTGGTAATGACAATGAGTTATTTTGGGTAAAGAATCAAGGTATTTTATTTTGAGGTTTAAGTCAGGATAAGAAAGGTGTAACCTTGTCATGTGTCAAAAATCCATAATTCTTGAAGAATTAAAAGAATCCTTAATTCATTTAATATTCGAAAAACTAAAGATTAAGATTTGTTCAATTACTCCACCTTAGAAAGTAGCATAAATTCAATCGTTTAAAAGATTAAGCGAACATGAAAGATAAAAGACGTGTTCAAACAAAACAATCCTCTAAGTGTAAATGATATATGCAATGCCCCTTCTTCGGCTGTCCGTGCCCCTGAACCCATCAGGTTTTGGATCTCACGCTTCAGCGCCTTATAGTTCTCAAAGAAATGATAGTAGCATCCTATGTGGAAACTGCAAACATCTTCAACATCGTAGCCCTTAGGATATGTGGACTATTTTCTCAAATCATCTTGGCAGGCTTAGTCGTACAACCAACTGATCGAGCTTATTCGTTATGATCTTAGTTTTTTCTTTTGATGTTACAATCTTGCTTCCATGTGGTGTCATGTGGTTAAAACCACTTCATCGAATTCTCCATGAAGAAATTTCATGTTTATGAAAATGCTTAAAAATGAAATGTAGATGCAAAATGCAAAATGCATGAAATGTTCGAGGCATTGATCCAAAAACATGTATGTTATTCTAAATAACCTTTATTGGGACAAAAGTGTTTTATCTTTTAAGAGATAATAAACATATTTAAAGGTACATCCGGACTAAATCCTCTAGACCCGAAACAGGTTGACTAGTCATTTGCCTTCGTATTTCACCGGTTGAATAACCTGTTGAACCACTCCGACCTCTCTGGATGAACCGTGAAAATATTGAGTTGTTTTTTGTACTGGTTCCCAAAAAGTGTCGAATGATTGCATCTCTGGTTTTCATCATTTGCTGAATCGGAAATTCCATTGAAATCCTCCATCAAAGAGATTATCCGGAGTTCATTTGCTTGTTTCTTAAATTTGTCGACAGTGACTTGCCATCTTGTTCTTGTTATCTTTGAATGGTCTCTCGAGGTCAGTAACATTTTTCTCGTCTTGCCCCTGCCACCTTTGTAAACCCATTTTTGAAAAGTTGACTTTTGATATACTTGATTGTGGGCACCATGTCTTCTTGATCGATTGTGACACATAGTTGTCTTACAAATTGTCCTCATTTTCTTTCTGAGTCTTTTCTGACCATAGCCGGACCCCTACATTTTTCATCTCTTGTATTACAACCCCTTTTTCCATTAATGCAAATTATTTATGGTTAAGGAATACGTTTTTTTTTTGGATCAACACCTCTTTTGAATGATGCAGATGATGGAAGTAAAATAAAAGAGAGAAAAATTGAAAAGAGTTAGTAAGGTAAAGATAATAATAATGAAAATAAAAGGTCCTACCCCACATGCTTTAATTCCTACCCGAACATGATCTCTATCCCGCATGCTAATTCCATACAAATCCTAACCGCATATTTGTCTAGTTCACATGCTTTGAACAGAAAGTAAAGCATGAAACAAAGCAGCCTAGGGTTTGGAATGAGGTTTTGGGGTGGGTTCTAATTCTCCATAGCCTCCCAGTTTATGTTCTAAAAAAAGGGACATGAGTTCTCCTTGTCGATGCCCCCTTGGGCTTACCAGACCCTTAGTCCTAAGCCTATTACAAGCTTATGTGGACTAAGTTAAACTCGAGAGGAAACATTACCTTATGCCCGCGCGGTGAATAAATTCACACGAAGACATAAGGTATATGAATCTCGAAGGCTACTTGCTAGGCCCGCACGGTGAATAAATTCACACGAAGGCGTCGCTTTCACCCCCACTTAAAAGGGTTCAGAGCTTGGGTATAGAGCTAGAGATGGAAACTTTTTCAAAAATTTGAAATCATTGAAAAAATGTCAATACAACTATTTCCTTGAAAAAAAATAATCAAAGATAAATAATTAGAATCGAATAAATAAATTAAAATTTAAACTTGTAATTTTCGCTAAAAAAAAAGAACCAAAAATTAATTTCAGCCTGACTCACTTACATGTCCCCAGCAGAGTCGCCAAGCTGTCGTAACCGTCTTTCGGTTGGGCCCTGGAATTGAGCTTCGACTTGAAAAATGTGGATTGGAGTCGCCACCGACCATTTTAAAATGAATTTAGGCGGGTCGGACACCATCTTACATGATCTGCGTTTTTACCAGAAATGTGTCGGGTTCGGGAGTCGGTTATGGTCAAGGAAGGATTAGCACCCTTGAACCGCCCTTTCGGTACCAATTAATTTGTCGGTTATCTTAGTTGCGAAAATTTGAAATTTAAATTAAAATTTAACAGACCCGATTCAAATTACTTACAATTGATTGATTTGAATACCCTTAAAAGATAAAAACGTTAGATTCATAGCGGAGTGTAAAATCGAATTAGGATAGCAAGTATGCAAATGTGTGAATAATAAATAAAACAAGAAAAAATAGAAAATAACAAAACATGTAAAAAATAATAATAAAATAATAAAAATAAACAAAATGAATAAAATGTTAAAAAAACAAAGACACAGATAAAGAGAAAAAATTAATGGAGTAAAAAATTAAAAAAAAAAGTAAAAGAAATTAAAAAGAAATAAAAATAATGTGTACATATAAAGTAGTATTTACTAAAACAAATAAAAATAATAAATATATAATACTAAGTAAATAAATAAAAAATAAAGATATACATGATATTAAGAAAATAATAATAAAATAAATAAAATAAAATAAAAATAATATATATATATATATAAATAAATAAAAATAAAAATATAATATTAAGAAAATATATATAAAACGTATAAAATATAATATTAAGAAAAAATATATACATAGTAAATGGAGAAAAATTAATACATCTATATATATATATATAATGATATAAGATATATATAATGAAAATAATATAATATAAATAAAAAAAGAGGAATATAGTAAATAAATAAAAAATATAATTATATATATATATGAGACAAAATTAATATAAAAGTAAAATTAAAGGATAAATTTTAAGGTAAATTAAAGATTAAGATTGACTTAGGGGGAATATTAAATACTTTAAAAAAATGAACATGCCTCGGGAGTAGATCTAGGTTCGAAACTTCGAAACCCCACCCCTTTTTTGTCATCGGCGCAACACATGTTTTGGGTTATTCAAACCAAATCTCAAGAAAAATAACATGTACATGCGAGAAATGAACGAATCAATGTAAAAAAAAGATGCTACCTTTTATTTCCTTTTCGAATCGTTTACAATAGCTTTGCCTTTGTATTTTTTCGTGCTTTCCTCTGTATCTTGTATGTAAATCGTGTGTTACAAATGGAGAGGATTACATGTATTTATAGTGAAAAAAACTAACTATTTTTAGAATCCTATTAACAATAGAATCCTAATGCAACTAGACTCCTTGCTCGATTGTTGCACGTTTGTTAGTGTGGTTGTTGCTTTAAAAGATATGGTGGTGGAAGAGTCCTCTTAGGAGATGAACTCTTGCTAGTTCTATCTTTTAAGAAAATGGGTGTCTACAATATGCAGATTATAAGCTTGTTTCAGGTTCCTATAAATCTTGCTACCTTTGCCATCTTGTCGTGCTTGTAGAGCTAAAATGGTGTTTAAATTTCAAAGTTCCGTTGCGTTGATACTCATTTCTTGGATTTTTGGTGCACATCCGTGATTAAGAAATAATAACTGTATTAAACAAATAAGTTTATCTTATCAGTATATATTTTCAAATAGTTACATGAAATCACTAAACAATAATTAACTATATAACGACATAAACGTATGCCAGCTTCTAGTGATTCGAATATTTGATGAACTTAGTTATATCGTGAAGAAGGGAGATCATGTCTGCCTACGCATAGCTGCACATCCCGAACAAACATTTACTTCCTTTGTCACAGCCGTTGTTGCAACCCCCACAGTGCCATTTGTCAGACATGGGATTCACACAGTTCCCGTTGCAGCAAATCTCCGTGTGCTTGCACTTCCTACCACACTTCCCGCAGTTAAGCCTGTCCTTCTCCACATTCACGCATCTTCTCTTGCAGCAATCAGGCCCCGGGCTGCCCACCACACCGCACACTCTCGGGTATTCATTACATGTCATCGCTCCCCGATGTTTCCGAGCAAGAAACCGGCTCCTAGAAGGTGGTCCGACTCGGCTACGATCATCGTTATTGTCAACTAACAAAGATTCATCGGCGGCTGAGAGATTGGTGGTGACCAAGGCCATGAACAAGGCAAACACTAAGAGAGCTTTCATGTTTGGGAGTTGGTCCGAAATGATACGATGCTCTGGATAATTGGGTCTGAAGAGAGGATAGTGTTGTAGAGGTATTTATAGAGAAGAAATGGAGGTTGAGATTTCATATTAAAGGTAAAAGGAGTTCGTTTTTAAGTAGAAACAAAATTCTGCATGGTTTCGTTCTCGCAAAGACTTCCGTTAGTGGGATGGTCCAATTCGACTTGAGTTTTTAAGATGTTTAAGTAAACTGAGTTAGGCGCCCCCAACTAAATTAGGATATTTTCATATGTTTTAATTTCACAACGCTCAATTATTTTACTGTAGCCATTGGTACTTAAACTTTTAATTTCTAAGAACAAAAATAGATAAGTTGGTTCGTACTATATATTTATATAATATTTATAAATACATATTCATATATTAAATAATTTTCATTTATTCACTTTTATTTTCATTTCAAATAATATCATATAATTATATTAATTACTAATTTTATTTACTTATAGATTCAAAATTTTCAATTTTAATTAAATTTATTTCATAAATTATTTCAACCTTAAATTTATTTCAGTCTCAATTTTTTTTTTTCAAACTCAAATTCAAATTGTTACAAACTTAAACTAATATAGATATACAAGCAAGCTCGAGCAAGTTTTATCAACTCTAATAGAATGGAAGCTCACCAGATTACAAAACATGACAACACAGGATATTAATAAAGAATTTAAATATTAGATAAATATTTTTTATTATAAAATAATATATGTTCTAAATACTCTCAACTATTTGACAATGAACGCTCAATCATCCTGTTGCAATCGCTGGTGCTCGAACTCGTGACCTCTTAGAATAAAATTGATCCCTTTAACACTGAGGTAAGATGGGTCGTGCAAATATTAGATAAATATTTAAATAAACAATTTAATCTCTTGATGTATCTACTTATATGTAAACATAAATAATACTATTACAGATTAATGGTATGAATATCATCTGTATTTTGTATTTTTATCAATGTAGAGTGTGTAGTTCTTATTGATGAAATGTTCTATATTTTACGTTAATGTTTTAAAATAATTTTTAAGACTAGCAACGTTAAATAATGATATGATAGAGATACGTGACACTTTACTATGGTACGTATTATATGTTTCTTTAAAAAAATTACTTAAAAGTAAGAAAATTTAAAATAACTTGACATTTTTTCATGATAAATATACGAGTATATGAAAATTTACTTTTTTTCTTTTTAGATTATTTAAATATTTCCCCCTTCTTTTATTCCTTTCATCGGAAAATTTAGAATTATTGTTTTCCATCGTGGTCAAATTTTCTTTGTCATGTTTTTGTTATTTAACATAGTTTTAAGGAACATTTTAGAAAATAAAAATAGAATATAAACGATATTATACATGATTAGAAGATATAAATATCACATTAATCAAAATAATAAAAGATATTCGTATCATTAACAAATTATTACAAGGAGAATATTTCGAGTGAAACAACGTGCAATTATAGAGGGGATTACTGCAGCTTCCTCAGAGGAGACGTGTTGTTCAAACTATGTCAAAAGAACTCTTCAAGATTGGATGACAAAAAAAAACCCGTTAAATGAGCACTCAAATATATCATAATTTAATAAATATTCTATGAATTGACTTTTGTATTGATTATTTATATATCTATTTTTTGGACTTAAGAGTTTAATTAATCACAAAGTAATATATGTTCTAAATATTCTAAATTATTTAACAATGAACTCTTAATCACTTTGTTGTAGTAACTGGTACTCGAATCTGTGACCTTTAAGAATAACACTGATTCCTTTTAACTACCAAAATAAGTCGGTTATGTTCTAAATTGAATTTGTTAAAGAAGCACTATATTTTCTTACGATTGAGATTATACTCAGGTTTGTTTTCTCAAAATTTCTGGTATTTGATGTGATTGTGTAACACCCCAACCCGTACCCGACCCGGATACGAGTTCGAGATGTCACATTGACTTTTTAAAACAATATCCTTACAAAATAAAAAAATATTTGGACTTATATTAAGAAAATATGATCATATACTGTTAAATTATGTTCGTTATAACAAATTTAAGGAAATAAACATTTTTATGAATAGTATTATACGGTATGTACAGTACCGTGAACAATAATGAACAATATCGTGAATAGTACCGAATGCTAAAATTTTCCAGAATGCTATAGGGGTATCGATACCCTACTACAGTAATTCCGACCAATATATTTATAACTCATAAAAATTTAACCTTTTATCCTTGTAAAGTTATCATTTACATATATATATACACGTTTAAAACATTACAAAACTTTTACTAAATACGATCAAATTGTTTTACAAAACTGATCAGAGTATATTCAATTCAAATCTTGTAATTACATGTCAACTAAATTTTATATAACAAAATACATGTTATTTATTTATCTTCTGATCTGACCTTCGGTAAGGAGGACTGACATGTCTTGCATACTTTTATCAATCTTCCTCTTCTCGGAACCAACGTGTGAAACAATCACACGCTAAGTCGTTGACTTAGTAAGACATATAAAACATAATAATAATGTATTTCCTATAAATATGAACAAATAATCAAATCATTCAATCATGTCACATGTACTTTATTGTAAAGAGTAATAACATGATAACATATAACAATATCAACACTTTTAATACTTGTTATAAGCCCATTTATCAAATGATCTTATACTTATCATTTCTGTGTATCATATAACGCATATAACATCATATAATTCCTGTTAAACAATTCATATCACCAAAAACATGTACATAACATATATTGTATTTGTTATTATTTCTTTATTAGCCCATGTGCATTACTGAGAACTTGAGGTATTCGAGTACATTGAGGTTGTGCACTATTGTTGTCACCACAACTCGTATAAGTCCCACTGAGTGGCATATAAAATTTGTCCCGAATGACCTATGTATTTGTCTCGAAATACCTATGTATTTGTCCCGAAGGACCGCGTAGACCCTCGACTCTTGGCATGCCAACTATACCTATAACTCTCGTATCATATAACATGGGCATTTTTCTTATGCTTCATATATTCATGTATTTACTTTCACATAGCTCATCACATAGACATGTATTCTCATATGTTCACGTAATTTGGATCTCATATACATATAGTCACGCAAATCACTTTTGCATATCTTATATCAACTTTTCATGTCATTTCACACTTCTTGTTACATTGCTTATATCTTATTCTTATATCTTCTCATAGACATATATTCACATATACATGTCATTTCATTATCCTTATTATTATTCTTATCATAACCATTAATCCCTTTTACTTACCATATACATATCATATAACACATATATCACTACACAAAGGAACAAACATGGCATCATGTAATTTCTATAACATATTTCATATTCTCATATAATCTTATAGATTATTTATATTGTTTCATATGACTTATCACACTAACATATACTTATACAAATTGTAACACCCCAACCCATATCCGACCCGAATACGAGTCCGAGATGTCACATTGACTTTTAAAAATGATATTCTTACAAAATATCAAAACGTTTGAACTCTTTTTAAGAAAATACGATAATATATTGTTGAATCATGTTTGTTATAACCAATTTAATAAAATATACGTTTTATGAACAATAAAATACGGTATTAACATTGAACAATACCGTATGAACAATACTGTGAACAGTACCCAAATGTTAAAATTTTCCTGAATATTAGAGGGGAACCGATTCCCCTATTATAGGGAATCGATACCCTGCTACATTACTGCTACAGTACTTCCATAAAATACGTATAAATTCATAAAAATCCAAGGTTTCATCATTATACATTTACCATTTACATATATACGTTTAAAACATTTCCAAAACTCGATCAGAGCGTATCTAATACAAATCTTTTTTATTACATGTCAACTAAATTCTTTATAACAAAATACATGTAATTTGATCTACATTTCTGATCTGATCTTCGGTAAGGAGAATTGACATGTCTCATTCCTCTTTACTTCTCTTTTCGCTTTCCAAACCTACGTGTGAAACAATCACACGCTAAGTCGATGACTTAGTGAGGAATATACACATATAATGAAAACCATAAAACATTTCATAAAGAAATACACTTAATATCATATAGTTCATATCAAATGCATGAACATTTATTACGATCATATCATATAAAAACATATATCATTTCTGTAACATATACCCACATGCACATATATCCTTATCAACACGTTTAACATTTCATATTCATTATCATTAATCCTTATAATTTAACAATCTTATACATAACGTATCATGCATTAACCAAGCAATACACCATTACATAAATCTTGTGATCTATTCCATATAGAAAATCACATATGCATATCATATTCAGTATACTTGTGTAGTCTCTTTATTAGCCCATGTACACTGTTGAGAACTGAAGGTATGTGAGTACATTGAGGTTGTGCACTAATGTTGTCACCACAGCTCGTATAAATTATCCCGAATGACCTATCCAGAGGTCATAAAGAACCTCGACAACTGTCAATAGGTCCCGAAGAACCTAGGTAAACTGTCCATATATTCCTTAAAACATAGATATACTGTCCATATGTTCCGTAGAACATAGGTAAACCCTCGACTCTTGGCATGCCAACTATACCACTAGCTCTCTTATCACATAACATGGGCATTATCATTTATAACAGTTCACATATTCATATCACATCATTCTTTCACATAGCTCTTTGTCACATTTCATGTAATCACATATTTATTCTATTCTGTCACATACCACATGTATGTGTAAACATCTATCTCATGTCATATAACATGTATCACATATTGCATATTTATGTAATCATATAGATCATGTCACATAGCTTATATCATTTCTCATATTCATATATATATATATATGGTTCACTTTCACATATTCACATGTACATTTCACTTTTCATATGATTTCATAA